ATTCTATAAATGTAAATTTTATAAATGCTCTAAATGGTATATCACTGTATACGTCTAAGACTAGGGCTACGGTTGTCTAAGAAAACAAGATGATAAATGCCCTGTTACAGGGTGCAATTTTCTCGCAACTTGCAATGCAATTCTGCTCTTGAGAGATGTTAATTAGTGTCAGTGAAGATGTTCGATATGTGAGAGAACAATACGAAATAAAGTTGTACTTTCGTAATTTACACGTCTCAAAAGTAGAGTTGCATTGCAGGTGAAATATTTCTATACTTACGCCATGGCGACAAACAATGTGGTAGAAACCACCAGTATGCCCTGGCACTTTTGTGAAGCCATGGCAAGGACATGAACCAACCAGCAAGGTTTCATACAATGACCGCAAATCAATGAGCATTCTTGCCTGACGCGAAGAAATAAAATGCAAGTTATTTCGTGCAAATTAATACCAAGTCACAATCGTAAATTACAGTAAATACCTTTGATTTGCCTGAAATTGCTATATTACACAAATGACAAAGTTCTTTCAGCTTCTCGACACTGCATTGCTCAATTGTGTTCATGTCAACTACTTGAGTGGATATCCAATGATGCAAAAGAGCTGGATCACCTGTGCAACAGATGCATAATTAAATTCACTTAAAAAATCAATTCTGGTCCAAATAACCATTCATGGTCACAAACAAGCTGTATTATATAGCATATATTATTTTAATTGAATGGCTAAATTGTACTATGAGTAATGCTACAAACCTTCATTAGGTTTGCCATATTGCTTGAGAAAAGCACTTTTTTTCCCCTTCAGTGTTGAACAATTTTGTACCTCTCAATGATGGGGCTATGACTGGTGGGATGGTGGAAAAGTGGATAGTGGCCTTTTCAGATCGTGTGTAGGTTGTCTTTTCCACCAAATTGTATTTTAATTTCTCCAAGAACATCTCAAGGGAAATAGGATCATCTTCCTCATAATCTATATCTTGTAGTGGTGAGTAATCAATCTACAATGAAAATGCAAATATTTTGTGTAAGAAGCTCTGGCAAATCAGAGGGATCTGAGAACAGGCTAAAGACCAGCAAGGACATTTTAATAATTGAACACTACTAAAGACCAAAATGTTACTAAAATTCTCATGTGGCCATTCTGGTCCATGAATGCTTTACCTCGCTAATGCTGCAGCAATTTTTTTCATTCCCATCCCCAAAATACACTTCACCAACAGTACCACAAATCCCACAAACACCTGAATCCATATTGCGTTCAGTTATTGCCTCAAAGCAATAAAACCCATTGTATAAATGTGTGGCAATACTTTCCAACTCATTTTCTGTTGGCGACTCCTTAATAAATACAACAGGATACTTTGTTAATATTTAGAGCAAGACTAAAGGTCCTGTTACACAGTGCAATTTTTTTTGCAACTTGCAATGCAATTGCTACTCTTGAGAGATTTTAATTCGTGAAGTCACACTTTGCCAATGTTACATCAGTCAAGAGTGGAGTGGCAAGTTTCAAGAAAAATTGCATCGTTTAACAGGGCCTTAACAAATTCCCATACCAGACGATTTGCCAAATTTATTAGACTAGTCCTATTGTAAATACTAAGACTAATCTGACACTGACAGATTCTAGGCAGTTGTACAGCATACTATTGCATAGTACATACACAATCATCTTGAAATTACCTTAACTTTCTGGACCATCACAGCTAATTTACTTTTTATGGCTACAGAAATTGGCACTCCTCTTTTGAACAATTCTCGGAACTCTAATAGAATTTCAAGTGCCACCAGAACCTTGTCACTAATATTAAACAGACCTAAAAGGCAATAAAATTGAATCAAATTAACCTTTGTCCCTGAGCCAACATGTACACTGTGAAATAGAAACTCACCTGTCAACATAGAATTACTATACTACAAAAAAATATTGAACTGTATATACTTACCTAATGTGTAGGGAAACACTTGGTGCATAACAAAGCAACATGAGCAATCTTTGACTAGCATTTTGACTGTTTTGAATGGACATCCATTGGTCATTATGATTGATCGCCCACGTTGATTTGGGTGTGGCTTGGACTGACCAAGAGGACTTTTACACAAATCGCACAAAATTTGGTCTGGTTCAAACTGCTCTGGCCACCCGGAAAAATCCATTTTACTTGCTGCCTGAATAATGGGTTTTGGAATGACATATGGCAACTTTAACTTCATTTTAAGTCCCATGGTTGCCTTGCGAGACTTGCTCCCACTTCTGTCAATTGTTGTCAAGGAACTGTCTGGCACTATTGGTGGGGGAAGATCTGCTGACACACATTCGTTGTGTGTAAAAATGCCAAGAGCCAATAAAAGATGGATGTGGGTGCAAACTTTTCGGGACTTTTGCTGCTTGCTCTTCAACATACCTTTGCAGTCTTTGGAACAGCATTTAATTTCCTTTTCAGTTACCTTGACATGGCAATATCCAACAGTGTTGTTTGTGGTTGCCATTCCAAAGACGCAATACATAGTTGGAGAAACATGCACCACAACTGGAAATGACTGTGCCTTTGATGCATTTGCCACTTCTGCCAGGGTTTTTTTTGTTTCATCATCACAGAGATAACTGGAAATGACCTCATCTGATATCCCATTGAATGTCTGAAGAGGAGTTGTACAATCTCTGGTGGATTCCAAATGCTGACAACTAAAGCTTGCCACTTTTTGGCTGTTAATATGAATGGCTCTATTCTGTTTACACAGGTGATGCTGACACATAGATGAAGCCTCTTCACGAACCACAATACATCGATCATCATGGGTACTGGTATTAACCGAGTAGATTGATAACCCGTCTGATGGCTGCACCACCAAGGTACACTTAGGCACCAATGGACGAGGCTTTTTTTTAGGGACATATGATCCTCCAAGCTCAAAATTGCATCCTGAACAACTTGGTGGCTTGTAACGGCAACTATATTGCAAACCACAATTTGGACAGGAACCCTTGCCACGCTTGGACCATCCTGAGGTTAGCTAATCGTAAAAAAATACACATTTAGGCACCTACCAATGCCTTCTCCCAACAGGCAGAGTGTGGCCTGATATATTAGATAGGCATTGACAAAATACTCCTGCCCAATGCAAATCAACGCAAAATCAATGGCACGTGAAAAGCGTCTGAATTGTCGTATTTATAAAGTTATTTTTGTGTTCATCCAACTACATCTGTCAATTCTAATGTAGTTGAGTTCATAACATTAAAAAATAAAGAGAATTCGAAATATTATAAAACTTACTACAAGCAGAATATTAATACAAGCAGAAAAATTAATATTTCACCTTGGCTTTTGTCGTATCTGCTCCCCCTTCTTCCGCCGCGACATCAGATAGGCCGGAAGACGCCATATATAGTATAACCCGAAGTTGTCCCTCAAAGAACTTTTTATAAGAAAGAACCGATGAAGCCAGCGAGCGAACGTAGAAGCGAAAAACACTATTATAGGAAATAACCGATGATTCGATCTAGCCAGCCCAGCGAGCGAGTGTAGAATAATAATAAATTTATACAGAGAGCGCCAATGACGTTTACATGGGAACGATTTTTATTGGCTACGGGTCAACCAATTAGAATGCACGTTCTGAGGACTGCGACCTTACTGAAAACGATCGGTTGGGCTAGCTTTAAAACAGGGAACGGGGAATCGGGGAATCCGGGAATCGGGGAATCGGGGAATCCGGGAATCGGGGAATCGGGGAATCCGGGAATCGGGGAATCCGGGAATCGGGGAATCCGGGAATCGGGGAATCCGGGAATCGGGGAATCGGGGAAACGGGGAATCGGGGAATCCGGGAATCGGGGAATCCGGGAATTTCTTTGATAAAAAAACATTTTTCTTCCGAATAATTACATATTGTTTATATCAATAGATTCGTCATGATGAGAGCTATCGAATGGTATATACATCAAATTCACCTAGCAAAACTGTGCTACTTTATCTACATGAGCAACCTTAACTCGCAAAAAGTTCTTAGAAACGGCTTTTTAACCCTTGATTTTCTCTATCTGGCGGTATAAAAATCTTTCTTCTAGAACTAATACTCGCGGAGTTACTAGTTGTTAAAGCCAAACGAAAAAGTAAACAAACCATCGCGTGAGTGTTCTTATTTGGAGACTGTCGAACGAATCTTCGAAAAAATACTGGACATTTGGGCAAACTAACCTCGCTAAGTATGAAAGCTCGTAAAAAGTTCTTAGAAACGGGTATTTAGCCCTCGATTTTCTCTATCGGGCGGTATAAAAATCTTTCTGGTAGCACTAATACTCGCGGAGTTACTAGTTATTAATTGCATGTTAATCATAATTGTACGTCAGCCTGTCAGAATTCAATACTATTTTAATATTATTAATTTATTGCTCCTAATTATGATGTTTATCATACATTTAATGTTGTTCACTTGTATATATGAGGTTTGCTATATCTTTAATTTCTAAGCATTTTCTTTAAGCATCCTAAAATTTGTAAACAATTGTAATAATTTTATCGGGCATTGTGTTACATTTTCGATGATAAAAATAAAGGCGAAACCTTACTACCACAGTAACCCAAGCAACAAAATATTATCGGATTATCGTCAGAATAAACGTAGTCAGAGCTCATCGTGCGACGGCGTATCTCATTCAATTCAAGACGTGAAAATGAATATCGTTCGTACTGTCCGCGAAACTCTGTAAAATCCTAGCAGTTGTTTGTAATAGTATGCAGTCTTTAGCGTCCAGTCAATAAAACGTCCATTTACTTCCCTTTTTCTTTTTTAAATTCCACGATTCCCAATCTACAGGAACAGTGAATGAATTAAGAAAGTTATATATTCTTAATCAGAAATGCTTATAGACACATAATTTTTATATCAATCAGATTCGTCTTGGTAAGAGCTATCGAATGCTCTATGGTTTGTGTATTGGATCACATTCACTTAGCAAAACTGTGCTTTGTTCCGCGAGTATTAGTGCTAGAAGAAAGATTTTTATACCGCCAGATAGAGAAAATCAAGGGTTAAAAAGCCGTTTCTAAGAACTTTTTGCGAGTTAAGGTTGTTCATGTAGATAAAGTAGCACAGTTTTGCTAAGTGAATTTGATGTATATACCATTCGATAGCTCTCATCATGACGAATCTATTGATATAAACAATATGTAATTATTCGCAAGAAAAATGTTTTTTTATCAAAGAAATTCCCGGATTCCCCGATTCCCGGATTCCCCGATTCCCGGATTCCCCGATTCCCCGATTCCCGGATTCCCCGATTCCCGGATTCCCCGTTCCCTGTTTTAAAGCTAGCCCGATCGGTTGGGGGGTAATTATATTTGCGTGAATGCACTACAAAGGTACTGACCTGGTGAGATAATGCGAAGAATCCATCCGAAAAATTGTATCCATAAAATATTTTGTGAAAAAATCTTGAGATCAATTCTTTCCAGCACAATATGCATATGGTAAACAGCAATGGTCAATACATTTTAGGTATGTAATCCTCGCACATCTAAAAAGTCTCGCGTGTCTCACGCGCGGGTAATATTTATAAACCGCAGGAAGGCCTGCGGGAAGGGCCAGGCATTAACATACTCGAGGGGGATGTCGTTGTGGGATTTTGTGGTTTCATCAGTACTTAAAATATGCAGGCCTAGTCTTAGATTCTCTCAACGTTGCATCGGTAGATGTCTCACGTGATTTTTAATAATGAAAGACATTGTTGCTATATATATTTTGTCGTTTGCCAGAGTCTGAATACTGAGAAATTCCGCAAAAGGCAAAACCATATCGCGTTATCCGGCATCGAAAATTTAACGTCATATTCAGAGTAAAGTGTTCTTAATGGCATTACCTCGATTACAGGTTAGTTTCATCGTTATGAAATATCAGTTTATAACTAGTGATATGGCAGGATAACCTGCTATGAAAAGGAAGACTTGTTAGAAATAAAAGTTTACTGATGATTCGTTTGTACGACTGATGTTAACGAAACACTGAATAGCCCGTGTCATTATTAGTTCCCTTCTCTTCCTTAAAGCACCACTGACATGCTGTTTCGTCTGAAAACTCGCGAGTTCTATAGTTCATTATTTCTTGTAATCATGTTTCGACATGCTCAGCCTGAAACTTTAATCGATCATTTATAAAACGTCTATAGCCATCAACCTTCGACATTATAAAATAAAGAAAATTCCGGGCGAAGAATATATAACTTCTTGGTCCAGCGTGCACAAAAGTAGAAGCCCTTTTGTGGAATGTAAAAGTTTTATCATCCAATGTTATAAACAAAATCTACCCCACTGGCCACTGTAGTGTAGCAGCTTGAACAAGGTTGTTTTCTATTGGTTAGAGCTCTAATTGGGTAGCGAAGGTAGCAAGCCAATAGCACGTCCGTATTACATGGAATCTATTATTAACTTTGAAATTATTAATTAAAACTTCCGGTTTATTTTCATCTTGCGTTTATTGCGTTTATGTGGTTTAGGGTCGTTGAAAAACTTAGTGAAATTACAAAACGAAATGAAGCTAGTTCGAAAAGATTAGTGATTAGTGATTGGTGGTTAACATTAATCGCTCTGTGTGCATGTCACCTTCATTTTTTGAATTTGGCGAATTTTGCGACTTCTCAAGAGGCATTGAAGTATTGTATTTGTCACTATTTATATTCAAATATTTTGTCACTCTATTATTGTTCGATATAATAGAAAATGTTAATATAAATGCAAAAAAAATACAGATTGGAGAGTATTACACATGTGGTATTACATTTATTTCGCTTTTTATATGTTTTTTGCAGCTACGCGAGTACAGTGCGCATAATATTCCGTTCGTCACAAGATGATAAGAATAACAACTAATAACAAGCGATATCAATACAAGTACATGTATGTTTAATTAAACAACAACAAAAAGCTATTGGTGGGTTTCACCATACTTCAGAGTGATTTGAGTGTGCAAATGATAGGAAATTGCGTATATTTACTAGGAAACGCAAAGCCAACACATATAGTGAAAAATTATTAAACTCACTCCCAAGGGCGATCTAGGGGCACTTGGTTAAAAAAGAGCAGCTGAAAATATGTATAGGGACGGTTTGATAGCCAAGGCGCGAAGACACAACTAGTGTGGTGTATGTATATTTATATATAAATGCTACTTTTATTTATATCTTTAAGTAACATCTCTCATAGGTCACATGCACACAATCTGTTAAAGAATCTACCTATACACCCACCTTATAGACTCATCACTTTACACAAGGTATTTTTGATGCCAGAAGCTAATATATGCTGGCGAGAGTAACAACAAAAAGCTTGAGGTGGAGGTCTTGTGATTTGGTTTTTTTTATTTATGACTGATTTACAGTATATTAGAATATGGAAATTTTGTATTAGACATTGCTGAATGTTTGTATGTATTAATTATTAATCATACAATAATATCACATAGTGACAATAAGTTCTGGTTGACAGTGGTTGTATATCACTTTGATTGCAAATATATAACATTTATATATATAATCATTTGTGGTATTAATCTCTGCATGTGAACTGAGATTGACAGGGTTCAATGAAGCAAATTGAAGTTCTTTACTGCTAGGTTGAAATTGGTAGGGACATGACAACCAAGCGATAAGAATTGATATAAGGCACCAAGTGATATAATTTTGGTGTTTACAAGGCCAGTCATTATTTATAGCAGGAGTGGACTGAGGATAACATATTTTAATTCTCAAAATTTTCCAACCCCACTTTTTATGTGTTGAGAAAAAGTTTACACCACTTCTAGGCAATAAAAAATAGTTACCTTAATTTTATAAGTTTTATTTACAACAAGCATTATAACATTTGTATAAGCTTTAAATGCTGATTGTATATGGGGAAGAGCCATGTATGTTGCATCAATGCAAACCATCCATGCATGCAGTCACTTTATAGATAGTGACTTATTAGATTGTACAGTTCATGTTTGGTTTAAAATTTTATGAAGAAAATATTTATATTGTTTTTTTTCTCGCCCCATCTTTCACTTTCTCATATCTTACCCCACCCAATATAATACAAATTTTTACCCCACATTTTCCCTTCCTCTCCCACCCAGGCTGGTCCCTAATATTAATGGTCTCAAAGTCTCCCAGCCCAAGAGTGTAAATAAATAAAATAATATGTTGAATGTTTCAAATAAGCTATTCACATTTAGAGCAAGGGGGTTATATATCTCCCTACAAATCAATAATGTCAAAACATAAGGACTTTCATACTAGGACTGAACAATTACAATAACTGTTCATAAGAAATAAAAAAAACTGTACAATTTTGGCAGCACAACTTAAAGAAGTACAAAAAGGATAAATTTAAATATCATGTAAACAAGTTA